TTCTGTGTTATAAGCGGGTGTCGGAAGCTTAAAGTTGTGTAGCGCCATCTAATGACAAGGAGTGATTTTGCATGATCTTCTGCTTGACGCCAGTGAAAATTGCTTGGGTTTGAATACGGAAAAACGTCTTGTAAAACGCAGACGTTAAACGCAAACGAAAAGCGTGAAGGAGCCTTAAACCTGTTGCTTCAAAAGCGATTAGTTGACTTTACTTAAAATGAGTGAGTAAACCTGTTGCTTTTAAAGTGATTAGTTAACTTTACTTAAAAAAGTGAGTAAACCTGTTGCTTTTAAAGAGATTAGTTAACTTTACTTAAAAAAGTGAGTAAACCTGTTGCTTTTAAAGTGATTAGTTGACTTTACTTAAAATAAGTGAGTAAATCTGTTGCTTTTAAAGAGATTAGTTGACTTTACTTAAAATAAGTGAGTAAATCTGTTGCTTTTAAAGTGATTAGTTAACTTTACTTAAAATAAGTGAGTAAACCTGTTGCTTTTAAAGAGATTAGTTGACTTTACTTAAAATAAGTGAGTAAATCTGTTGCTTTTAAAGTGATTAGTTGACTTTACTTAAAATAAGTGAGTAAACCTGTTGCTTTTAAAGCGATTGGTTGACTTTACTTAAAATAAGTGAGTAAATCTGTTGCTTTTAAAGAGATTAGTTGACTTTACTTAAAAAAGTGAGTAAACCTGTTGCTTTTAAAGTGATTAGTTGACTTTACTTAAAATAAGTGAGTAAATCTGTTGCTTTTAAAGTGATTAGTTGACTTTACTTAAAAAAGTGAGTAAACCTGTTGCTTTTAAAGAGATTAGTTAACTTTACTTAAAAAAGTGAGTAAACCTGTTGCTTTTAAAGTGATTAGTTGACTTTACTTAAAATAAGTGAGTAAATCTGTTGCTTTTAAAGAGATTAGTTGACTTTACTTAAAATAAGTGAGTAAATCTGTTGCTTTTAAAGTGATTAGTTAACTTTACTTAAAATAAGTGAGTAAACCTGTTGCTTTTAAAGAGATTAGTTGACTTTACTTAAAATAAGTGAGTAAATCTGTTGCTTTTAAAGTGATTAGTTAACTTTACTTAAAATAAGTGAGTAAACCTGTTGCTTTTAAAGAGATTAGTTGACTTTACTTAAAATAAGTGAGTAAATCTGTTGCTTTTAAAGAGATTAGTTGACTTTACTTAAAATAAGTGAGTAAACCTGTTGCTTTTAAAGCGATTGGTTGACTTTACTTAAAATAAGTGAGTAAATCTGTTGCTTTTAAAGAGATTAGTTGACTTTACTTAAAATAAGTGAGTAAACCTGTTGCTTTTAAAGAGATTAGTTGACTTTACTTAAAATAAGTGAGTAAATCTGTTGCTTTTAAAGAGATTAGTTGACTTTACTTAAAAAAGTGAGTAAACATGTTGCTTTTAAAGTGATTAGTTGACTTTACTTAAAATAAGTGAGTAAATCTGTTGCTTTTAAAGTGATTAGTTGACTTTACTTAAAAAAGTGAGTAAACCTGTTGCTTTTAAAGCGATTAGTTGACTTTACTTAAAATAAGTGAGTAAATCTGTTGCTTTTAAAGTGATTAGTTGACTTTACTTAAAAAAGTGAGTAAACCTGTTGCTTTTAAAGAGATTAGTTGACTTTACTTAAAATAAGTGAGTAAATCTGTTGCTTTTAAAGTGATTAGTTAACTTTACTTAAAATAAGTGAGTAAACCTGTTGCTTTTAAAGAGATTAGTTGACTTTACTTAAAATAAGTGAGTAAATCTGTTGCTTTTAAAGTGATTAGTTAACTTTACTTAAAATAAGTGAGTAAACCTGTTGCTTTTAAAGAGATTAGTTGACTTTACTTAAAATAAGTGAGTAAACCTGTTGCTTTTAAAGCGATTGGTTGACTTTACTTAAAATAAGTGAGTAAATCTGTTGCTTTTAAAGAGATTAGTTGACTTTACTTAAAAAAGTGAGTAAACATGTTGCTTTTAAAGTGATTAGTTGACTTTACTTAAAATAAGTGAGTAAATCTGTTGCTTTTAAAGTGATTAGTTGACTTTACTTAAAAAAGTGAGTAAACCTGTTGCTTTTAAAGCGATTAGTTGACTTTACTTAAAATAAGTGAGTAAATCTGTTGCTTTTAAAGAGATTAGTTGACTTTACTTAAAAAAGTGAGTAAACCTGTTGCTTTTAAAGTGATTAGTTAACTTTACTTAAAATAAGTGAGTAAATCTGTTGCTTTTAAAGTGATTAGTTGACTTTACTTAAAATAAGTGAGTAAACCTGTTGCTTTTAAAGTGATTAGTTGACTTTACTTAAAAAAGTGAGTAAACCTGTTGCTTTTAAAGAGATTAGTTGACTTTACTTAAAATAAATGAGTAAACACGTTGCCTTAAAATTTAAGTAAATGAACTCTGTGCATAAGTAAAAATAAAGTTAAATTAACCTCCAAATTACAATGGATTTACTTGCTTTTTTAAGTAAAGTGAAATGTTCACTTTTAAAGCAACGAGTTTAATCATCTTTCTTAAGTCAAGTAAATAATCAGATTATAATAAAACACAACAGTATTATAATCTACGTTAACATTACAACGCATTATTCCAAAACTCTCTGTGAATGTTTTCTAGCATCCAAAAAAAAAAAAAAAAAAAACATCACCAGTTGCCATTTGCATGAAATAAACAAAAGAAACAAATAAAGATCTTCCAAAAAAAAATGGAGAGCTTTAAATCGTCGGTCTTGGATGGCGTTTGTTGGCACTTTATTCCAAATGTGATTTCACATTTGCTTTTAGGAATGTGGTTATTGCCGGAATTGGAGAAGTGATATTGTCATAGCAGCCGGAGTTACGTCTGGTATTTATGTGCTTGTCCTGCCAAAACACACTCTCTCTCTCATGTTGCCACCTCCAGCACTGTGACAGGCTGTGTGTTTTATTTCGAGAAGAGACGCTCGCACTGATTCACAGCCCACCGAGGCCCTCAGACACGTGCGCCTTTAAAGATTTGCCATTAAACTCTAGCAGATATATACTGTTTGTAACAACTACAGAGAAGCGTTCAGCCAGAGAAGAGCAGTCAAAAATACACATAATATACTATATATACAGTTAAACTCCTTTCTAATAACTGATTTATTTTATCTTTGCCATGATGACAGCACATAATATTTGACTAAATATTTATCAAGACACTTCTATTCAGCTTAATGACATTTAAAGGCTTAAGGTTAATTAGGCAAGTTAGGGTAATTAGGCAAGTCATTGTATAACAGTGGTTTGTTCTGTAGGCAATCAAAAACAAATGTTGCTTAAGGGGGCTAATAATATTGACTTAAAAATGTTTTTTAAAAATTAAAAACAGCTTTTATTTTAGCAGAAATAAAACAAATAAGACTTTCTCCAGAAGAAAAAAAATATTTTCGAAAATACTGTGAACATTTCCTTGCTCTGTTAAACATTATTTGGGAAATATTAAAAAATACAAATAATAATTTTGAATTCAACTGTATTTATAGGCTAATGTAAGTACACTTATTTATATTTTATAGAAACTAAGAATCAAATACATAAAAATAAATGTACTGAGGAGATTATATTGGTGAAATTTTTAGAATAAGACAGGAGCAGGGGGTTAAAATGGATAGTTCGCTCAAATGTGAATAGATTTACTCAATTTCTAGTTTCAGTTCTTTATGAGATATATTTACGCCGAAGATGCTTTTTTTTAAGCTGAAGACCTCTAACCATTGGCTTTCATAGGAAAAACAAATATAAGTCAATGGTTAATGGTGTGTAGCTTTTCAAAAAAAAAGAAAGAAAAAAAGGATATTTTTTGTTAAACAAAATAATGCTTATAATATGCAGAAATGCACAATAAAAAATAGTATGTGCATAAATAAACTAATAACAATAGCAAACAACATTTAACAAAACTAATATATTATTACTACTACTACTACTACTACTACTAATAATAATAATAATAATAATAATAATAATAATTATTATTATTATTATTATTATCAATAATATTATTACAACTGCTAATAATAATAATAATAATAAGTTACTATTATCACTATTATTATTATGATTATTATTATTATTACTACTAATAATAGTAATAATAGATATGATTATCATTATTATTATTATTGTTATTATTATTATTATTATTATCATCATTCATTCATTCATTTTCTTGTCGGCTTAGTTCTTTTATTAATCCGGGGTCGCCACAGCGGAATGAACCGCCAACTTATCCAGCACGTTTTTACGCAGCGGATGCCTTAACATCCACACACACATTTATACACACACTCATACACTACGGACAATTTAGCCTACCCAATTCACCTGTACCACATGTCTTTGGACTGTGGGGGAAACCGGAGCACCCGGAGGAAACCCACGCGAATGCAGGGAGAACATGCAAACTCTACACAGAAACGCCAACTGAGCCAAGGATCGGACCAGCGACTTCTTGCTGTGAGGCGACAGCACTACCTACTGCGCCACTGCATATTATTATATTATTATTATTATTATTAATAACAACATTTTTTTATTTTATCATTATTATTATCATTATCAATATCTTTATTTTATTACTATTTATTACTATTATTATTATTATTTATTATATTATTATTTATTATTTATTTATTTATTTATTATTATTATTATTTATTATATTATTATTTATTATTATTTATTTATTTATTATTATTATTATTATTATCAATTTTTATGATTATTTATTTAATAAATAGCTTATTTATTTATTTATTTGTTTATTTTTTTTAGACTAGTTCTAAGAATAAGGAAAATGAATATAATGTTACATAGTGTGTGTATTAATATATCTTATTTATTCAAATGGGATGTTCTGATCAGTTTTTTTTTTTGTAGACGGTTTATGTAACAGTAAAACATGCATATACTTTACAGTAATGATGCATATACTTTACAGTAACGATGTACAGGAGCAATGATGACTCTGTTGCTGGTTTTCTATAGGTAACTGGGATCTGCAGGCATTTATTCAGAGGTTTGGTCTGTCTGGAGCGAAGGCTTCTCTTCAGTTCCTCACCCAAAACTACAAGGACTAAAACAGAAAAAAAGAAAAAACACCTCCAACCTGCAGCTAAGCCTCACTTCTGACTATATTTATTATATATTTATTATTTATTATATATATTCAACTGTATTTCACCTCAGTGTTTAGGATATCAAACCCAAAAAAGATGATGTTATTTTATTATGTTAAATAAAAACGATATTCATATAATTTCAAGGCTCATATTTGTTTTAATATGAGCAATATGTCTGTGAGATGTTGTAAATATTCATGGGAAAGGAATTTACTATCCCACGACATGTATTTTAAGATTGTCTCCCGCGTCATGTAAGTTAAACACAAAGCTTCTGGAATAGGGGTGATAAACTCAATTCCTGGAGGGCCGAAGCCCTGCACAGTTTAGTTCCAACCCTGCTCCAACACACTTACCTGTAGGTTTCAAACAAGCCTGAAGGACTCAATTAGTTTGATCAGGTGTGTTTAATTAGGGTTGGAACTAAACTGTGCAGAGCTGCGGCCCTTTTGGAACTGAGTTTGACACCTGTGCTCTAGAAAGATGAGGAATATAAATATTCAACGCTGTCCAGTGTTTTATTAATATTTAAAAGTTATGAGTGGTTATAAAAAACTTTATTTCTACTTTAGGGCTTTTGTGTAGCCTCATTATAGCGATATGTACAGTTTTAACTGTAATAATAATACAACAATGAACACTTCAGATCATCTTTTCAAACAATAAATTTTAAGATGGATTTTTTGGCCGATATCGATAACCGATAACTTAGAGGCTATAGCTGATATAGAGGTCGATAGCCGATATATATATAGCGGATAATTATAAATATTTCGAAACGCTATATTTTTATACAGCAAACAACTGATTTTAAAAACGAAATTGCTGCATATGTACTTCCGGCTACATAACTCGCAATCTCCAGAAACGTATATAGGGCTGCGTTTTCAGAATGAGCACGTGTTGGGAAAGTTAGTGAATGAAAAGGCAGAGGTGGCCTGTAGTGATGGGTCGTTCTTGAACGATTCGTTCATTTTGAACGAATCTTCAATATATAACTAGGGAACAACGAATCCTCTCAGGTAGTGATTCGTTCATCCGCGTGTGCGCACATTTGTGCAGGTGATATCGTTCATTTCAAGTCTTTTGAGTCATTAATCGTGGAAAGGCAGAGGCCAATCATATGGGCTTAGAGCCAGAAAAATAATTGATCCGTTCACGTCTCGAGTCCTCGGGTTTGACTCATTTGTTCCTCACAGGCCAATCATATTTGTTTAGAGCCGGAAAGAGATTTGATTCGTTCATCTCTCGAGTCCTCTATCGGGTCTGAGTCATTCATTCCTCACGGGCCAATCATATGCTTTTAGAGCCGGAAAAAGAATTGATCCGTTCATCTCTCAAGTCCACTATCGGGTTTAAGTCATTCGTTCCTCACGGGCCAATCATTTGCATTTAGAGCCGGAAAGAGATTTGATCCGTTCACGTCTCGAGTCCTCAGGTTTGAGTCATTCTGTCATGTGATGAACGAACGATCATGGCTCCTATCGGCTTATACTGTGTACATTGGTTAAGATTATATGTGACTGTCAATGTAACGTGAACGAACCCCTGACATTTGAAGACATAAAGAGGTGAGCTGAGCAAAGAGACGACAATGCCTTCATAGACAAAAGAGCAGGTAAAAATTGATTTATTATTTTCTCCTTCCTATAGTCTTCTATTTATAACCTATTTGTCGTGTGATCAGTCTTTTGGGCTAGTTGTAGATGTGTTTGAAAGCAATTCGTAACATTTTAATAATATTTTGGCAAATTGAATCAAATGAACGAAATGACTCGAAAAAAGATTCTCGATGAACGAGACTCAAAGACACGAGTCAGTAAAATGATCCGAACCTCCCATCACTAGTGGCCTGATGATTAAGAATTTGTATCCGCCTTCATCTGTTTGCAGGCATGGTGTGAATAGTATGAACTGCAGCTGAACTTGTCGCAAAGTTAAAAACGAAACAGCCATAATCACATATGATGCCATGATGAACACGAACTGTTGTTGCGTGAAACGCCGGAGGAAACTAGCGTTGAATGCTGACGTTAATGTATTATAACATATAAAACAGGAACACTCAAAAAGCAACTCATGTAAACATCTTAATCATTGTCTTATTGAGATGAAGGCAAATAATTCGATTACTGATGTCCATGTAAGTGTAGTCAGTGGTTGGAGTGCTGTCACACTTTAGACAGTGTGTGGAAAGAGTCGCTCTGAGACGGGAAGTACGTCACAACCAATAGAGGAAGTGAAGGAGGAGGGTGTCGCGGCCGCAGATCAGCCGGAAGCCACAGTGGAACTACAACCAAATTTCTCTCCGCATGTCACTTCAGGCCAAACTCAAGGGCACAGGTTCACCACCATCAACTTTTTTTTCTGTCTTCAGTTGCGGTTACGTGTGCACACATTTCGGTTAAAAAAGGAGAAATAGTCTTGGAAATGCACCGCTGTTTGGACAAGCAGGTTTTATCTCGTCTGAGTTTATATTGGGAGAGGCATTTTTATAAAGTGCTATTTCTGAACGGGTTATGTAATAATTATAGACATGCAAAACAAAGGCAGACGGTTATGCAAAAAAGTAAAAACATTTGACTGAATTTATCCCAGACATGTATTTACAAAAGCAGCATTTTGTGCTTGTGCATTCATATACAGTTGAAGTCAGCAATATTAGCTCTCCTTTGATTATTTATTTATTTTATTTTTTTTTAAATATTTCCCAAATGATGTTTAACAGAGCAAGCAAATGTTAACAGTCTTGTTTGTTTTATTTTGGCTAGAATAAAAACTGTTTTTATTTTTTTAAACACCATTTCATGGTCAACATTATTAGCCATTTACGCTACATATTTTTCGATAATCTACAGAACAAACCATTGTCATACAATAACTTGCCTAATTCCCCTAACCTGCCTAGTTAACCTAATTAACCTAGTTAAGCCTGTAAATTTCACTTTAAGCTTTATAGAAGTGTCTTGAAAAATATCTAGTAAAATATTATTTACTGTCATCATGGCAAAGAGAAATCAGTTATTAGAAGTGAGTTATTAAAACTATTATGTTAAGAAATGTATTGAAGAAATCTTCACTCTGTTAAACAGAAATTGGGGAAAAAATAAACAGGGGGCTAATAACTGTATGTTATTTTGTTGTTTTAGGTTGTCTTTAATGGCTATATTGTTATAACAATTGTTGTTTTGTTCATTTTAGTTTTAAACTAAAGGTAAGGGATAAAAACAAAACAGAAATTTGCTGAAATATAGCAAGTTTGCACTTTTGATATCTTTTAGAGTTATTTTCATGATAGTAAGAAAAACATTTTTAATCTGTATTTACTTTAAATATAATAATAATAATAAGTAACAAATTAATAAGTATTTTTTTGTTTCTGATTTTAGTTGTCTTTTTTTATTTTTGCATTCATCAATTTGAAAAAAAGTTTATTATTAAAAGTATAAATGCATTTGTTATAATGCACTTTGCGCTGCGGCGCATGCTAACAGGGTTGAGCTTATTCTCTTAATGAGTTATAGGTGTGTTTTGAGAATAAACCAATCAGAGTCTCTCCCATTCCCTTTAAGAGTCATTTGCGACGTGCCACAGCGCGTTAGCTATTTACATGGCAAACTTTGTAAGTGAAAAAACTGAACCCTTCACTAGAGAGAAAACAGTTAAACAGAGCATCTGCAGCACGAGAATGAGAGAATGAGCCTCCTCATTCTTTACTTTCACTCTCGTGGATAGGGAAAGGTGTTGTACGCACAGACATCCATTAGCTTACTTAATTTAATTTGTTAAGCTCAAAGATTTGTTTCAAAACTAAATCTAAATTCAGCTCTTATTTCCAGCAAACGAATAAATAAACAATAATAACGAAGTGATGTCAAAAAAGTTATATCCAAATACACATGCTGTGCCCCATATAGCCTAAAACAGAGGTCTGCATTCCCGCAGCTGTGCCACGGGACCCGACCGGATTTCTTGCAGTGCAGGAATGAATTTCTGAATAAAGCGCGGAAGCGGTCGGTAACTGGTGTAATTTGAACAATATCGCTCCTGACTCCCGAGCGAGCACGCCTATGTATTTGTGTTAATGAGGTGTGCATGAGGGGCGGGGCGGATGGCGGGACAACAAATGTTGAATATAAGCAGGAGCGGTCAGGTTCAGACTATTTTTTTAGATTTTCTGCGAGGCAACAGTGCTAGCCCCGTGCTGCCTCCAAAACATCTCTATATCATGAAATCAGTCTCAGCTTCACTGCAGGGTGTGAGTTTGGGTCACAAAAGCTCTTCTCTGGACACAAACTGGGCTTCAGTTGAGCAGCGCTGTCTCTGAGGACAGTTTGATATCAATACACCAGATGTCTGGAAAAAAGGCCTGGGATTTAGGGAAGCTACTTTGATGTGGAGATGATCAATGTAAGTTAGTGGTTTAATTGACCAGGCGAAAGTGTCTCATCTGACACACACACACACACACATGCTGTGGCACACTCTCACATGCATTCATACATTCACAGACAGGCAGATCATTTATCACACTTTCACTAAACACACACAAACACACACACACACACACACACACACACGCACGCACGAGGGTCTTTGTGTCTCCGCTGGTTAAGCCAGTCTCTTCATGTCCCCTGCATGAACTCAACAGAGCATTGATCAGTTTGTCCTGTTTGCATTTGTTTGTTTTCTCAGACTTCAATGGTTTCACACACACACACACACACACACACACACACACACACGCACACACAACAACAAACACGAGCTCAATTCCTCTAGTTTCTCTAAAGGATCAGCAGCAGTGAAAGGTCAGAGTTTCTGCAGAAGCCACATAAGGACACGTTCTCTGCTTAATTAATAAAGGTCAGCAGGTAGTGAAAGCAGATTAGATGTTAGATGTTTCCTGTTGTTCTCAAGGTTAAAGGTCAGATCAGAAAGATATGAAGGTATTCACAAATCGCGGTACTGTTTACTGACATAATGTTCAATTTGTCCACAATATTTAACCTAAAACATTTCAAGCTCTCCTGGGAATACTTCAGCATCATAAATAAAGTTAAAGTCTGAATTTTTCACAGTTTTTTTCGATAATATTTTTCTCCTGAAGAAAGTCTCATTTCACTCTAAAAAAACACAGGGTTAAAAACTACCCAAATAGTTTTTTTAACC